AGGACCTTCAAACTTTGACATACAGGTATGTCACACAATCTTTACCATTGACCTCCACCGGTCTGTTTTTCACCGTTAGTTTCCTGACATCAAGGTTCCTGGAAGGGCTTTCTGCCCATATACCAAACACTCCTCCCAGAGAAGAGGCACCTCTAAACACAGGAAAGCTTGCCTATGATGTTTAAAGTCACTGCAGTACCGAAAACACCTTAAGTACCTTATATACTCGAGTGTAAGCCGACCCGAATATCAGTCGAGGCACCTAATTTTACCACAAAAACTGAATTAAAAATGTGCCAAAAAACTCAGTTTAGACACGAGTATATACGGTACATTAAAATATAACTTAACATCTCGCTTTTAAATTTACCATTTAAAATTCGTTTTTCATTATCATCAACTCACTTTGTAAAAATATATTAAGCCACTACAGTCTCAAAAACCCAAAATGACAGTCCTGTACTCCATCCTAGAAGGTCACTATGAGTTGGAATTAACTCAAAGGCAGCGGGTGTGGGGGGGAGGGTAACCCCTGAAGTCACTGTTTTTCTTCAGTGAGGTCAAGGGCATTTCACGTAAGCTAGTCCATCTTCTAACGGCTAGACGCTAAGCTGATAATCAAAAGGTTCATGGGAGAAGGGCATGGCCTTCTGCTCCCATAAAGATCGACAGTCCTGGGAGCCCTATGAGGCAGGTCTACTCTGTGCTTTAGGGTTGGGCACAGTTGGAATTGTTGAACAACGTAGAAGAGTTGTTCCTTAGGAGTCGGAATGGACGTGGCAATAGGGTTCGCCATTGCTAATGGCTCCATTTTATCATGTAGCGCGTACACACTGAGAACCTTGCCAGAAGAGGGCAGTCCCGGGAGAAGGACATCGTGTTTGGTAAGGTAGAAGGCCCTCAAGGAGATGGATGGACACAGTGGCTACAACAACGGGCTCAGACATAAGAAGAATTGTGAGGGTGGCGCAGGACAGGGCAGCGTGTCATTCTGGTGTGCATAGGGCCACTATGGGTCAGAACCAACTTGATAGTACCTAACCACAACATCCTCACAGCAGCCTACGTAAATATCAAAATGAGATCTGACAGAACAATGCCCAGAATGAAAAAAAAAAAAAAAGAATTAGCATGTAAATCTTTTGCTCAGAAGCAGTAGCTCTGGTTAGGGACATTAATTATTAGGTGTTGTTGAGTCAGTTCCAACTCTTAGTGACCATATGTAGACCCAAGCAAACTGGTACCCAGGTTGCTATGAATAAGCCCATTGTTGCAGGCACGGGGTCCCTCCATCTCCTTGAGGACCTCCCTCGTCTCCAATAACACTCCACTTTACCAAGCATGATGTCCTGCTCCAGCGACTGGTCTCTTAACTACCTTATGATCTCGAAAATAACAAAGCCGATGCCCATGTAACTGAGGGAATGAGATGGAGGTCTTATCTGACGTCCTCTAGCCACGCCAGGGAGGAGACTCCACCTCCATGTAAACCCAAGGCCAACTGTCATCAGGCAGGAGTCAGACATGCCTCTACCCTCCATCTTTCTTTATCGAGACACATCTGTTCCTGCCACGGCACGCACCTCTCTGCTGGGTTAACAATGCAGTGCGACAGCCACGGAGAACTCATAGACGATACTCAGGATTACAAGGGGTTACTAGAGAAATTAGCAGCTTACAAGTCAGGCTCCGTCTGTAAGGATATCCTTACAGCACAGGCTGTAAGAATACAGTCACGGGTCCACAACAACACCTCCCCTCAGCCTGCAACCGAGCCTTTCTCAGGAGCCTCAGTCTCTCAGTCAGAGTCCCCTGGCCTAGGCTGCTGTAGGCCAGGGAGCCAGCCGGCTGTTCTGCTTCACAGTCTCATGGTCGGGCTGGCAATGCTCTCTGCTCCGGCTCATGGTCCGTCTGCCTCGGCTTCTGGTGCCCTGGGTCTCAGCTCCACCACTCCGGGCAGGGATCTCGAATGTGCCTCACAAGTAGCTCCTCTTCCAGGAGAAGTCCCAGCAATTCCTTCTCTCTGTTCTTACTTCTGAGATAAGTGTGGCAGCTAAAACTGACCGCTCTCCTGTATTGGGTGTTTCGCACACCCTGTTTGCATGGCCCCGCCCAATCCTTTGGTGGGGGCAGGAGAGGCATGGCTGGAAGAGCCAGTGAGAACGTTCACTTCATCGCGGCCACGAATCATTATGCTGCTTCCGATTGCTTCCAAATTGGGTCCTATGGCCACACAGACATGCTGCAAATGAAATACCATTAAAAAAAAACACAACTGGTGCATTTTCTTACCTCTTATTCTCGACAAAACCATCTCCTTGATGATTTGCATGATAACACGCCCAAGGATCATGACTGAGATCAAGTGATATACTCTCCACGGGGTCAATGCCAGGAACCTGCAGGGACAGACATACAGGGCACTATTTCAGTCTTGTCTTTTCTTTTTCCCCCCTCACAAAATAAAATAAAATAAAAGGATTTTGGTACCTGCAACAAGAACAAAATAAGCGTTTGATTGATAATGCCTTCCCGGTTGGAATGCCCCCTGGAGTGACTGTGTTGTGTGAAAGTGATCTGAAAGGCTTTGGACTCGAACCGCTCCATCTGTCCCCATGTGCCCTTGTGCAAGGCCTTGGGCTCTTATGTCCAATTGAGGCAGAGGAGCGGCTATCTTGGGGATAGGCCAAATATCGCCTGCAGAGCAGGCTCCCCCTCAAACTGAGGAAGGACACAGCTGACCTGATGGGAGTCGGGGTGGGCCAGCAAAGCAGAACTGTCCTCTTTTGGGGGCTTGGTTTGATGCCATAGTCACCCCTCAGACCCTCCCCACCACCACTGCCAACTCTCTCAACAACAGCCGCTGTTAAGGGTGCACCTCGGGTGTCGATGGAGTGTCCTGTCTGTTGTTGGGGCGCTGGCTGCGGTCCCATTGGTATGTCAAATACCAGCAGGGACGTTCATGATGGATAGGTTTCGGCAGAACATTCAGGCAAAAACAGATGAGGAATAAAGATTTGGCAATCTACTTCCAAAATTCCCAAAAATGTTTCAAATGTTCTGCCATCAAGTTGATTCCAGCTCACAGCAACCTTCGAGAAGAGCACAGAACTGCCTCCACTGAGTTCCGGAGGCTGTATCTCTCTAAGGGAGTCGAAAGCCTCATCTTTCTCCTGAGGATCAGCTGATGGTTTTGAACCGCTGACCTTGTAATTAACAGCCCAATGTGTAACCACTATTCTACCAGGCTACAAACGTTAGCCAAGGAAAATCTATGGATCACAACAGCAGACTGCCTTGATAGTGCTAGAAGATGCATCCTGGAACTGGATCTTAATAAAATGACTTTTTAAAAGAGAAAGTTCAGAAATGACCCACAGAGCTGGCGGCAGGGTGGGGGCTCAGGAAAGATGGTAACCATAACTCTGAGAAGGGTCTCACATCAAGGGTATATAAAGAACTCCTACAAGTCAAAAACACCACCCAGTTGAACTACTTTCCAAAGGAGTTGGATGATCAGTAAACAAACAAGGAAAAACGCTCAGCATCTCTGGTCAAAGAAAAGCGCAAACGGTCCCACCACTGAAAGGGAATCGTGGGAAAATAACAAAGTCGTGGCAGGGACGAGGAGAAGCGAGAACCCTCACCCGCACTGGTGGGGATGGAAAGGGCACAGCCGCTTTAGAAAACCTGCTGGAAGCCACTCCAGCGTCCACAGGTTACGGGTCGTTACTGCCATCGGGTCAATTCCAACTCAGCTCGTTAGGACGCCGTGCAGCTGCTCCTGAGTCCCCCAGACTGTAATTCTTTACGGGAGCACAAAGCTCCATCTTTCTCCCTCTGAGCAGCTGGTGGTTTCGAACCATTGACCCAACATGTAATCACGATGCTACCCGGGCTCTAGAGTTACCACATGCCCCAGAAATTCCAGTGCTAGGTATATATAAACCCCCAAAGATTTGAAAGTAGGAACCCAAACAGATAGTGGGACACCAATACTCATTGCAGCCGCGTTTACCATAGCCAACAATCCAAGCATCCATCACAGACTGATGAACAAAACGTGGCCCATCCATACCATGGAAATTTCTCACCATAGTGAGAAACAATAGTCCTGGTACCTACTACCTCTGAATGGACTTTGAAGACGTGCTACATGAAATAAACTGAAAAACCCTAACTCACCGCCATCGAGTCAATTCCACTCCTAGCTAACGAGAAGACACCCTAGAACTGCTCCGTGGGTTTCCAAGGCTGTTTGTTACTCTTTACAGGGGCAGAAAGCCTCTTCTTTCTCCCTCAGAGTGGCTGAGAGGTTCAAACTGCTGACCTTGCTGGTAGAAGCCCAACATATAACCCATCATGCCATTGAGGCTGTCTTACATGAAATAAGTCGCCCATAAATGGACAAGTACGCATTAACCCACTTACAGGAAACATAAGGAGCCCTGGTGACGTGGTGGTTATGCGTTAGGCTGCTAATGGCAATGTCTGCAGTTAAACTACAGGAGAAAGACAGGCTTTCTACTCCTGTAGCGAATGCCCATCTCAGAAACTCACAGGGCAGGTCTACCCTAGGAGTTGGCATTGACTGGATGGCAGAGAGTTTTTGATTTGGTTCTCACCACCACCACCACCACCCCCCAAACAGAAGCTCCTATCCAGCAGCTCAGTATTTCTTGCAGTCTCCAATTCCCTGCAGCATCCCATCACCACGGGAGGGAGAGAGGGAAGAATTCTGTCCCCAGGCCCTTCACTCACACATGCCAGCCCACCCTGAGGAGTGCTGGGAAGTCCCACCCAGCCTTCCCCGAGGACACACCGAAGCAGGTAAACAACTCGGTGCCTCGGGCCCTGGGCCTCCTGAGTGTGGCTGCCTTCCATGTCACACTGCCTTCTCCTCCGGAGGTTTCAGGTTCAAGAGCTTCCTGGCCAGGAAACAAAAGGCCCCTTTTCCCCAGCGGAATCCATGAAACTGATCATAAGTTCAGGTCCAACTCCAAGAGAAGACGTTGGAGAAGAACCAAACTGGGTCCGTCGGGAGCTCCGTGGGATGACTCGCAGACCGCATTGACCTGGGTTCACTGACAGTCTGCCTGGTTGAGTTTCCCACTCCGCTACCACCTGGTCCATTGAACTTGGACTGGCAAACGCTGGGGTCGTCTTTGGTGTGGATGCTTCCGCACGAGGAGGCTAACAACAAATCAATAAAGTGAGGCCGTTGGTGTTAAAATCAATCCATAAAATCAACTCGGTGTCAACCAAATACCAGTCAGAACCGCTCGAGGCGAGGAGAACGGATAACTGCAGGCGGCAGCTGGAGGAAGCTCCTTGAAGGTGGACTGCGAGCCTTTGACTCACCGGGAGAACAGAGGCCGGGCACGGCAGGGAGCGGGCAGAGTGAGCAAAGGAAACAGCCAGAGTCCAAGGAGGGCAGAGCATAAGAAAGCTGCCCTTCCTGTCTGGCCTGGGGGAGGAGAGGAAGTTTAGTGATGGGCTCTGGGTTCAGTTTCCAACCATTGTTCCTCATCGCCAAGAGCCCTGGTGGCATAATAGGTTACACATTGGGCTGCTAATCATAAGGGCACCAGCTCGAATCTACCAGCTGCTCCACAGGAGAAAGATGAGGCTTCGTTCCCGTAAAGCAGCGGTTCTCAACCTGTGGGTCGCGACCCCTTTGGGGGTTGAATGACCCTTTCACAGGGGTCACCTGATTCATAACAGTAGCAAAATTACAGTTATGAAGTAGCAATGAAAATAATTTTATTGTTGGGGGTCACCACAACCTGAGGAACTGTATTAAAGGGTCTCGGCATTAGGAAGTTTGAGAACCACTGATCCAGATGATGAGAAATGTAGCTGTCACTACAGATGTAGCTGTAGATATAGAGGTAACAGTGGTTCATCGGTAGAATTCTTCTTGACAGGAGACTGGGGTTCAGGTCCTTCGGCATGACCGTTGGTCAGAGGTAGTGGTTCTCAAACTTCCTAATTTACAGCCTCAGAAATCCACAGGGGCAGTTCTTGGTCCTAGTGGGTTGACGCTATGAGTTGGAACCGACCCCATGGCCATGAGTTTGGTTTTCAGTTCCTCCTCACAGCGACCACACGTCTGTCAGTGGAGGCGTACATGTTGCAATAATGAGGAGCACGTTTCAAAGGGAAGCTGGCTTACATGACGAAGAGCGTGACATCAGGGTTGGAGAAAGGCTCATTAGGCTTCTCTGCCATTTGCAGATGATACAACCTTCCTTGCTGACAGTGAACAGGCCTTGAGGCCTTTGCTGATGAAGATCAAGGATCGCAGCCTTCGGTATGGAGTACAACTTAATGCAAAGAAGACTAGGAGCCTCACACTGGGAACATCATCAATGGAGAAAGGATGCAGCTGTCAGGGATTTTGTCTCGCTTGGACCCACAATCAATGTTCACGGAGGCAGCAGTCAAGAGATCAAAAGATGTGTTGCAGTAGGTCAATCTGCTGCACAAGACCTCGTTAGAATTTTACAAAGCAAGGATGTTACTTTGAGAACTCAGGGGTGCCTGATCCAAGCTATGGGATTTTCAATGGCCTCCTATGCGTGTTTAGTTGAGCACTGAAGAAGGGAGATCGAAGACGAAATGATGTGCTTGACTTATGGTGCTGGAGAAGATATAGTCCTATGGGGTGTTCAATGGACAAACTGATTTATATTGGAAGAAGTAAGACCAGGGTGCTCCTTAGAGGCAAGGAGAGCAAGACTTCTTATGTACTTCGGACATGTTGTCAGGAGAGACCAGTCCCTGGAGAAGCACGGCATGCCTGGTACAGCAGAAGGGCAGCCAAAGGAGGAAGACCCTCAAGGAGATGGATCGATGCAGTGGCCGCAATGACGGGCTCCGTCCTAGGCAGCACTGTGAGGATGGCGCAGGACGGGGCAGTGGACCGTCCTGGTGTGCAGAGGGTCGCGATGGCTCAGAGCCGATACAATGACAAACAACAACTTGTGTGCAGTCCAGTCAACTGTAACTCATCAAGACCTGCAAGACTGAGTAGCGCTGCCCCACAGGGTTTCCTAGGCTGTCGTGTTTGGGGGACCAGATCACCGAGTCCTCTGACTGTGGGGCAGCTACCAATGTTTAGGTGAGCAACCTTGCACTTCATCACTGCACCACCACGGCTCCTATGTAATCCTTACAACAATCTAATGAGGACCACGTGCCCCTAGTAGCCCTTTTCCACAGGTGAGCAAAGAGCTTAAGAAACCGGCCCAAGGCCCCAAGCTTAGGGTAGGAGATTGGGCTGGGAATCTAAGCGGGGCTCTTTCTCTCATCTTCTCTTTGCGCTTTGTATTGGGAATTGCATGAGGGTTTACAGGGCCGACTGATGGTCCCGCCAACAATTCACACACACTTCGCT